ACAAAAAATAAAAAGAGATTCGCATATTTAGGATTTTCGAGATTTTCAGCAATAGTTTTAAAATATTAAAAATATTTTAACCTAATCTAATCTATAAACTTAATAACTAAATCAATCTAAAAAAAACTATTATATTTATTCAACAATTTAACCGCTAAACTTAACTAATCATTCAACTTCTCACTTGAAATATTTAAACTTTTCCCTAAATTATTAAGTGAATATTCATATTAATCATTTAAATAATACGATCGGGCAATATAAAAATACAATAGAGGATGTCCATCCTTGTTCTCTACAGCTTTAAAAAACCATCTTAAAGCTTCCAAATAATCATCAGAATATTACATATATTAAAGTCCTATTTTTATCATCACATTAGTATAATAAGGACTTGCTTAATGACAACTTTCATAGTATTATAATTAAGCATTATCAGATGTTAAGTCTCCTAAAGACTCATAACATTTATAGCAATTAATGTTATAGGCAATTCCTTTTTCATAATATTTAAAAGCCGTGGTTAAATCTTTTTATGAATAATAATAATCTCCGAACATTTTTTAGCATAGACTATCTGTTGGTCTTAATTTATGAGCTTTTTCTAAATAAATTCTTGCCTATGTAAAATCTTACATTCTGAAATATAAATTGAATAATTTATAGAGTATAAAAAAGTGGTTGGGAATTATTTAAAGACATTTCTTATACGAATTTACGAGTTCTGTTGCGTCTTCTTAAATTATATAAATTTCGCTAAGAAAGCACTACAATTCAAAATCGACATTATTGAAGCATTTTTACATTTTTTATTTTATTTCTTGAATGTATTATTCATGAATTTTAGGATATTATCTTATTTTACAGGCCAAAATCATTATTTCTTGGTCTTATTTTATACTTTCACATTCGCTTTGGAAATATTATATGGCTTAAATGTATTCTTTATTGCAGTATTTAATCAATCCTTTAGCAAATTAGATGCCTGAGTTTTATAATTCGTTCTAATTTTATTATTGATTTTATTAAGGACATATGTTTATCTATTTTTCGATCTATTCTTAGAGTTCTTTGCTTATCTTTTTACTTTTATATTCATCATAATAATATAGATCTTTTATATACTCTGATTTTATTTAGATATCATCTTTGAATTTTTTGTATATTTCTTCGGCTTTATCTAATTCGTAAATTTTTAAATGCGATTTTATTGATAATTTACAGGCGAGCTTAGAATTTTGCTTTATTTCATCTTTTAATGTTTCGTTGCATTTTTCGAATTAATGTTTTTAGTAATATTCAGATGCTAAATGTAATTTGCTTTATTTTTAAACTTTATTTCCCATATTTTTTTATTTAAAAAAAAATAATAATAATATAAATTATGATTTATTAGTTTTATTTTTTTTGTATAAAAGTAGATATTATATTATATTTGATTTATTTATTTATTCTTAAATTTTGATATTAGTATTATAATTATTTATTTTTTAAAAAATAAATTAAGGCTAATAATAAGATTTTTTAATTTTGCTTTTATTTTAAATAAAAAAAATATATAAAAATTCATTAAAAACATGAAATTAATTATTATTAATAAAGCAAAAAAATTACATAAAAGTATAAATAATACAATTTTATCTTTTTAAAATATATTTTATATATTTTTCTGATTCTTTTTTTTAAAAAAAGACCAAACTAATATTTTTTTGTTATTAAAAATAACAAAAATCAATACAAAGATATAATCATAAAATTATAGGTATAAAACTATTTTAAAAATAAAAAGAAACATTCAGTACAAAAATTATAATATAAAATGAGCGAATATATACTATAATTTAATAAAATAAAACCCTGTTTATAAACATTTTTAACAATATAATAAACCCAACTAATATATCTTTCATTTTTTTAACAAAAAATTATTAATTGCAAGAATAAATTTGACATAGAAAGCCAAGACAGTTTTTTTTTTTATGACAAAAGCTCTTTTAGATTAATTTATAAGGTGCTTCCGGTTTATTGATAACAATTAGACATTTTAATAACCTATAAATTATACTGTAATAAGACTATTTAATAATATCTTTTATTATGAAAATTTGAATTTATTTACTTAGCAATAAAGTAAACCCATTAATTTTATAAAGTAGATTTATCATAGTACGAAATTAATTTTCTATTAATTAACTAAATTTCAGTTAATTAAATAAAAATATATCAGTAAGAAACTAAATAAAAAGTTATTTAAATAGTAAATTAGAAGCTTGAATTAATCAGCTTATTGGCAAATCCTAAATGCTTAATAAAAATAAAAATTAATAATTATACGATAGAATATCCATTTTTTAATCTAATTAACTAATTTAAAAAAATAAAAATAATTTATAAGGCTTATTGTGATAAATTTTTTTTCCTTTTTTTATTTAAAATTACATTTTCTACTTTAATAATAATTTTTTTTTTCAAGATTCCTATATAATTATAAAAGCTAAACTAATAAAATAAATTCACAATGAAATCATTAAATAAATAATAATATAACATTTTTCAGACTTAATAAAATATATAACATATAAATAAAAAATAACCTATTATAATAGAAAAATAATAATATGACTAAAATACCAAGTGAAACTAATAAAATACATAAAGATTTTTGTAGTATTTAAAAAGTATAATATTTACTAGAAAAAGTAAAAAATTTTCAAAATAAATAATTTAAGTAATATATGTATAATACAAATAATTTAAATAAATATTCTTAAAATTTTTAAAAATATTAATAATTTAATTATTATATCTAAGTCAATAATAAAAACCTATTTTAAATCTATTTTTCTAGTATCAAATTAAATTGATTAGAAAATAAAAAAATTTAATGATTTTATAAAATAATAATATAAATAAAGCTTTTAAACTACTCAATAATGTTTATTAAAAATACATTTGAATACTTACTTTTTTAAAAAAATTAGATGATATCATTTTTTATACAAAAAAAAAAATACTAAATGTTATAATTTTATTAATTAAAATAAAATTATTAAAATATATTTAAATAATTTAATTATATATTATTTTAAGAATTTTATAAATATAACAAAGAAATTTAAAAAATATATTCTAAAAGCCATTTAATAATAAACTATATTAATATCTTTTTTGATAACTTAATTCTTATTTTATAAATGCCGATTTATAATATAATTCAGTATATTATTTCGATAAAAAAAAGACTAATACAAACCTATAGATTTATAATTTTAGGAAAAATAATAATACAAGTTGAATAACTTTTATAATAAACTTAAAAAATATTAAAAAAAAAAAAAAAATTAGAAAATTAATGGAAAGAAGAAAAAATATTTAAAACTTTATATTAATAAGTAATTAGTATTGAATAAATATAAAATTTGAAATTCCGATATCCTGATTAATAAATGAAATATTTATTAATGTTAAAATTAAAAATATTTATTCTATTTAATAGAAATTATGACAAGAATAATTATCTGATAAAAATAATTCAATAAAAAGCTTTAATTCTAAATTCTATATTTAAATTTAAAAACAAAAAATATAAATAATTGATAAAAATATAAATAATGATATTACATTCAGAAAATAAAACACTTTTATTTTTTTTATAATATTATTTTATTTATTTTTATATTAGATAATTAATATTTAAATTTTTTATATCATATGTCTATTTATTTCTTATATATTATTCAATATTAAATAAAATTAGATAATGTTTATAATGAAAAAGTTATAATATAAGATTATCATGATGAATAAATATAATGGATATTTAAATCATAGAGAAATACAATAAAATAAGTTTTTATTTATAAACATTTTTAAAAATACTAAAATATTAATATTTATTTATAATAAATTTAAAATATTAAAATAATGTTTTTATTAATAAAAAATAAACTAAAAATAATTATGTTTTTAATATATAATATTTATAACTCTCTTCATTTCTTTTATTAAGGGTAAAAAGATTATCCTACAGGAAATTACCCATTATTATAAAAAGGTTATTATTATTATTATCCATATGGTTATTATTGTTATGCTTATTACTATCCATATTAAGGTATTCCATATCCACCTTATGGTTATTACTATGCGTAAGGATTAGGCTAATAAGCATAAGAAGGAGGTTATTAATATGGTTATTAATTTCCGTAAGGGAGTTATTGTTATTAATATGGATTTTAATATTAAGACGCATGTTAATTATAATTAGGGAACTAGTTTTATTAAATGAGTTATTTTTATTACTCATTTTCAATCAATTAAAGTAAATTTTACTTTTCAATAGATCTTGCCTGTACAAAATCTTATACTTTCTTTTCTAATTCAATTAATAAAGTATTTAAGTCTTCATAAAATTACTAACCTTGTTAAGAATCACTAAATAATTCAAGGACAACAGTCAAACCATTCGAAATTCTTTCTGATTCTTACATTTAAGCCGAATTGTTTCCTCCTTTTTGTTAATTTTTTATTGATTATAATTCGTTTGCTATTGTGCAACAATTATTTACACTTAAAGAAAATTAAGTTACCTATTTTTTTATTTGTTAATTTATTTTTTATTTTTTATTACAATATCATTTAATTAGTTAATTTATTAAGAAACAGGTTAAAGAACAGTTTCTAATAATTAATTTTAAGGAACTTTTTTTTAATTAGCTTTAGCTAATTCTTATACATAATTGATGTTTTTGACATTTTCTTAAATTTAATTCGCTAAATCTTTAATTTAATTAATTTAAGAATTAGCTAATTTATCGTTTTTTTCTAATTCTTATAATTTCTGTTAGCTCTATTATCTAAATTATTAATCAGAAGCTGCGCCTTCAAACAATTTAGTAATTTCAGTTATAGGTTTTTATATTAACTAAATAATATCTTAATTTTATTTGAATCTTGCCTAATTATCCATTTCTATTCCAACTGCAGTTTTAAAGTTTTCTTCAAAAACTATTTTATTTTATTTTTAAAAAAATATATATATATAAATAAATATATATATATATATATGTTATTTTATATATATATATTATATTCAATTATATATTTATTTTACTTGATAATTCTGCTAAATAATCTTTGTTTATTTAATCAGAAGATAATCTAGTCCATTTTTATCCATATTATTTTCTTAAAGCAATATCTTCATTATTTTCATTATCTATTATATTTTTAATTCTATGTATAAGAATTCCACATTTATTATTTTTTTCTTTAAGAATATCAATATTTTAAACAAGTTTATTGTTTCCACCTTATTAATTAAATTAATTTATTTTTTCTTATACTTTTGCAGGTATTTTATTAGTTTATTATTATTATTAATTAATATCTAAGAAATAATTGACATAATTAGCTAAAAAAGATTAATTTTTCATATCCAAAATTTACTTTTGTAATTAATCAACTTCAGAACATCTTTATTACGCAAATTATTTGATTTCGTTTATTAATTTATTCATTTCATCATTCATAAACTAACAAAAATCATCTTCGTTTACAGTTAATTATACACCAAACTCTTTCGGTTCTACAGCTTTTATTAATAAATTATCACTTACTTCTTCTATAGAAACACCTTCACTTACTTATTCTTTATAAATCTATTTTTTTATTAAATAACAAAAAAATTTTTTTTTAAAAAATCAAAAAAATTAAAACTTATTAATTCCTATTATTATATTCATTATATTTTTAATCGTTTTAATTTTTCAAAGCAATTAAAGCTTATTTCTATTATTCATTTAAAGACTTCATGGCAGCTTAATTTCCAAGTACTTATTTTAAAACATTATCAACTTTTTTAATATATCCAAGTGCTAATCCCATATGATTTCCTTTAAGATTATCTTCCAATTCCGAATTGTGATAGACTATCATTTTATTAGAAGCTTCTATCATATAATAAACAGACGAGAAATATAAACTATTCTTAGTTTAAGTTAGATGTTCTTAATTTATTCCCGAAGAACCTTATTTTAAACATTCATTTACTTTAGAAAGTCCAATGGTGAAATTATTACTAGCTTCTTGTGCAATTTAAGCTTTTTTTTATAAAATATATTATTTATTATATAATTAAAATAATATACCTAAAATATTAGAACCGAGTTTAATTTCTTAAGGCAATAAATTTTAGAATAAACAAACATAAGAATTAGCAATCATTAAATGATATAAAATATCCAAATTTTCTTCTGTTAAATCTGAATGAATTTATCTTACTTCAGGAATTATATTTAAGGCTAAATTTCTTGTTTAGGTTATTGCCCAAGCTCCTTGTCTGTATTTAGCAATCGCCTACTTTCTTTTATCAGAATCGTTTGATTCTTATAATGATAGACCTTCAGTGTAATATAAAATAGCTAAGTTATACCATATACAAGCCTTTTCATATTAAATAGAAGGAACAGCAACAGATTTTTGAGTATTAAAAGAATCAGCCCATGTAAATGGTATAGTTATAGCCCCTTATTAATAATGTTCAAATCTAAATCTATATATATTTAATTTATATATAATTAATAAGTATAAAAATTTACTTTTTTTCAACAAAGTTTAGGTATTTTATATATTCTATTAATTTTTAAGTATATTTTTAAACTGTAGGAATGTCGTTTATTAGATTCTTTGTGTGTTATTCAAATTTAAATTCAGCTCTTAGTTCGTTTATTTTTGTAAATACAGGTTTTACTTTATCCCAAGTCTATGAACCATATAAGCTTGATATGTATTATTAAAAAATTTAATCTAGAGCGATTTTTTAAGTAGTTTTTAAAAGAAATGTGATGTTTTTCATATTTATTTATTTTATATTTTTATAATATGTATATATAAAATAATTTATTTTTGTTGTTTGCCTATAATTTATTTTATTTTATTTATATTTTTTATCATAAAATTAATTAATAAAGAAAAATATATATATATGATAAGAAAAATAATAAAAAAAAATCTCTAAAAAAAGTTAATAATATATATATTTATATATATAATTTATATATATATATAAATATATATTTTTATAAATTATATATTTATATATTTATATAAAATGTTTTTATCACATTATTTTACATCATTATTTTTACTTGTACATATAATATATTTTTTATTTATTTAGATTCTATCTTATCTTAATTTATAATCTTATAAATATTAGACTAACCTTACAAGCCTACGATTTTTTTCCTTTAATTTTTTTTTTCTAATTTTAAAATATAAAAATAGTATCAAAAAATAAAAAAATTCAATAATATTGTCATGTTTTAATATTTTTTTATAAAATATTTTTTTTAATAAATATTTAATATTATTAATAATAAAAATATCATAAATGAATTTAATATATATATCTAGATACCCTATTTATATATTATAAATTATCTTTTTAAAATATCTTTTATTATTCATTTTATTTTTATATTCAAAGTAATTTTAAATGAATATAAAACAAATATTTTTTAATTAATATTAAACTTTTATAGCAAATGCTTTAAAAATTGAAAATAAAATAAAAAAGTAGTGTTTGCTTTGAATGAAATTTATAATACCAATTAATATATTTTAAAAATAAATATATGAAAATCTTTTAGTAAATAAATTAAAGTTAGTTATTATATTATATATAATAAAAAATTATTATTTCCTTAAAAATAAAATAACGTTTAATATGTTATGAATGAAAAAAATATTAATTTCATCATTAATACATGAATTAAAAAAATTTATTTATATTATTTTTATAAATAAATAATTAATTTTTTTAATTATATATTCTTAGTTTCTTCTTTAAAAAACAGCAAAGTTTTATAATAAATATTATTTATACATTTTGTGATAGACAAAATTTATATTTAGTAATTACATAAATAAAAAAAAGAGTTTTTTCGCTTTAGTCATAATAATTTAATTGGTCATGTTAAATCTCTTCATTAAAACGGTATTTACACAGAAACATAAAATCAGAAAATTTGATCATTGATAATAAGGGATATTTGAAAATTAGAGATTTAGGTATACCAAGAATATGGAAACCAAAAATAGTGCTGATACATCTGATACACCTCGCTATAAGAGTAATGCAAATATAAATTATTAAACTTTAAATATATAATTCTTAAATATAGCACGGAAAAAGTATGCAAAAAATAAGTAATTATAATTAATTAAATAAGTTTAAATTATAAAAGTTGTTTTTCATTGTTAAAGTTTACAAGCTGTAGATTTTGCTAATAGTGTTCTTATTTTCTTTTTAATTAAATATATATATACATAATTTCTAAAAATTAATATAAAGAAAAAAAGCTAAATGAAGAATTCTTATTTTTATTTAAATAAAATACAATAAATTAAAGTAAGTTAAATATTTTATTAGATTAAAAAGAAAATAATTCTTAATAAAATAAATAGTAAGAAGGGATTCTGTATAAAGAATGTTTGATTGCCTAAATTTAAGTATAATAATATATAAAACACTAAATTAATTTTTTTTTAATAAATAATAAATATTTAGATATTAATAAAACAATAATTACTATAAAACTTTAGAATAAATATAAATTTTAATATATTTAATATAAAAATTTTAGTAAAATAAAATAAATTTTTATGCAAAATTATTTGTAAATTTTTAAGAAATTTGGGGACTTTTTAATACAAATTCTAAATATAAAATAAAATTATATTATTTTGAACTTATTAATATTAGTTTAATTATTAATTAAGAAACTATTTTAAATAATATTATATAAATTTTAAATATTTATATTAATTCTAATATTTTTAAAAATGCAATTTTAAATTAAATTATATACAAATTTTCTGTTAATATTATTTTATTATTTATAAATATAAAAAATACATCATTATTAAAATTAAATATTATTTTACCCAAATATAATAATTAAATATAATTTTGGCCCAAAAATATATGATATTTTTTAACTGTTTTTAATCATTTTTTATCCATTATTCTTATTTAAATATATAAAATAATAATTTATTTATAAAATATTTTAGTTTAAAATTTAATTTTTTTTAGAAAAATAAATAAAATATAAACATTATATTTTTTTATAAATATTTGTTTGAAGTTAATTTAAATTTATACAAAAATATATTTATAATATATGATAGAATAAAGACAAAAATAATAATATATATCTATTTTATATATTTTCAATACTTTTTTATAAAAAATTTAATTATAAAATAATTCAAGAATAAAATAAAATAAAATTTATAATAGAAAAAAGATAAAAAATGAAAAAATAAGTAATATTATTGATCATATTTATATTTTTAATAATTTCTGCTGAAGCTGTGAAACAAAAAGATGTCGATAAACAATAATCATCAAAGAAGTCTTCTAAATTAAATGATAAAGAAGAGAAATAAACTAAATAGGAATCTTAATAAAAAGAAAAAACATTAAAAGTAGAAAAAGCTTAAAAAGAAGAAAAACCGTAAAAAGAACTTAAACCTGAAAAACCTCCTAAAGAAGAAAAGTAAAAAGCCTAAAAGGAAGAGAAACCTCCTAAAGAAGAAAAACAAAACTCCGTAAAACCTCCAAAGAAAGAAAAGCCTCCTAAAGAAGAAAAGCCCCAAAAAGTAACAATTCCAAGAAATAACACTTAAGTAGCCTATTAATAAGCCGCAAATGTCATTTTTTGGAACGGAACTGACTAAACTGAAACATTAGGACTCTTTAAATAAATTGGAGTAAAGAAAAATAGCTGTTAAATAAACAAATTCAACTTGTTTAATCACCCTATATAAAATATTTAGAATAAATGTCATGAAGTTGCTTATAATTCTTAATTGGAAAATCAATGGTAATCATATGCTGATAATAATTTAACTCTTTAGTATAAGTTTTTCGAAAATGGAAAGTCTTGTGAACAAATTACTAACTGGAACTATTAATAATTATAAGGTAATAAAAACATTATTCCTTATAATGTTTATATGATTTTTTTTTTAAAACAAAAAAAATAGAGAATAAAATTGTTGTTTAAGAAAAGGGTAAATTTCATTATTTGAATAGTACATAATAAATAAAATGTAAAAAAAATTTTAAAATAAATTAATAATATAGTATTTAATAGATGATTGTCAATTTTCTGGTTTTAATAATTTAAATTAAACAAGTTAATATTAATATTCAAATAATTATACATTAAATTATGACACTGAAATAAGAAAGAATTATTTTAAACTGTATATTAAGTCTAAAATAAAGCTTAACTGAAAACTCATCCGAAAAATACAACGAAAAAGTCGAAAACGCCATTTTCCATTACTAAAATATCACCAAATAGGATCTAAACGAAACCTATTTAACTAAATAATCCAAGGGCAGACAAAAACATAACATGTTTATTACATAATTGTTAATGGATTAAATTAAAATGAGAGTAAATGGGATAAATAAAAAAAATATGTTGATACTTTCGAAACATATAATGAAGGTTAAATATTTTTGAATGAAAAACATAAAATATATAATGAGAATAATATTCATACTTCGAATAATACTCTAAATAGTACAGTAGATAATAGTAATTTTAATATCACTCTAAACATTGATTCTGGAATATATTAAGAAAGAACTAAAAAATATTAAAAATCCACTTTCGGATAAAATGCTAATAAAATATAATTTAATGATGTTGGATATTATAAATAATGGAAAATTAATAATTAAAGGCCACAAAGAATTATAATAATACTGATAGTTGGGATGTTATTGGATTAGTAGATCCTTTAGATATATCTTTGTAATAATAAAAGAAAAAATCAAAACATAATAAAAGAGAAGATCTTTGATTTAAAAATAATATATGCAAAATATTAAATGTGTGTTTTTTTTATTTTTAATATTAAAAATTATTTAAAAAAAATTCTATACTTTTCTAATTTTGGGTATTATATTATACTTTTTTTGTTTATAGAATAAATTTTCTCTTAATATTTTTATTATGAAAATTTTAAGAAAAAAAGAGTAAATTCTTTTTTTACATATAAATTTGAAAAAAAAAATAAAAAAAAAGATTTTTATATAAAAAATATGGGAAGATTTTTTTTTTTTTTTTTTCATATATCATTAATAATTTATTTTAAATGTGTTTATAATATTTCTTCTGAATTTTATTTACAATCATCTAAATTCTAATTGTTTTATTTAAAATTGCACTCATATGTTTTATTTCAAATTGCAATTTATATTCAAATCTTTTGAATTATCTGTCAATTTAATCTTGTTTTTTGGTCATACAATCAACAAATTTATCCACATTTTTTTAAGATTTATTTATACATTCTTAAGAAATAATTTCGATTTTTTTTAATATTGCGTATTCAGTTTAAACTATTTTTGGGTTGAATTATTCTATAAAATTATTTAATTCTTTTTCAAAATTCATTTTTATTATTATTATTTTTTTTTAAAAAAATTATTATAAATTCTAATTTTTTATCTATTAATTCTTTTTTATAAAAACGAAAATATTTAAGTATTTTTTTTTAAATTAATAAATTAAATAAATATTAAAATTATTAAAAAAAATATATATTTAGAATACATTCATAAAAATATATATATATTAAACATTTTTTTTTTAAATTGCAAAAACAAAAAATAATTTATTTTTATACATTTAATGTAAAAAAATTATTAAAATACTCATTTTTATTTTTTATGAAAAAAAAAATAAATAAAAAAACTCATAAAAATCTTTCTTATAATTTTTTAAAATAATTTTAAAATTAATTCAAATACATGGCTTTTCCAGAACTATTAGAAAGTAAATTTGAATAATTAATTTCATACATAAATTCAATTTTCAGTATTTTTTCATATTAAGTTATAAGTGAACCCCCGAAAATCTCCCCTCTATTAAATCTACTTTAAGATTTAATAAAGCCTTCTAATTCTTCCGAATTAAGAGAAATATCAATTTCACAGATTTTTTCATTTTCCTCATCATCTTAAGATTTTAGAAAAGAAAAATGTTTTAAATATACAAATTCACAAGGTTTATTTAGATGCTAAGAATTAGATTATGCGAATAATATATTGTTTTAAATATCATCATTGATAATAACTGTTTATTCAAATCCATGTAATGTTTACATTATTTAAAGATTATTTTTAAAATTGATAAAATCATCCATATTTGGTGTATTTACAATATAATCTCCTATAATAATAATAACTCGATTATCATCTATACTTAATTCACTTCTATAATACAAATTTTTATCTCCTTATTTTATTATATGGTCAAAAAGTTCAATGTTTTCAATTAATTCCTATTCTAATCTCCACATAAAATCTTAATATGTTTCCTATTTTATGATTTCTAATTAATAAAGTGACTCTCTTGATAAATTAAACATTTACTGTTATTATTTTAATGTTTATATCCATTTCATATATATTTCAGGTTTTTAAAAAAGTTTTTTGTTTGCAAATTTATTCTAATCTATAATAGAAAGTTCATAAAATTCACAATCGAAATATTGACTATTTCTTTTATAATGGTTAATTAATTACTAATTAATATCTTTTCCTTTTCCCCATATATCATTAGAACTAATTGTGAATATTTAGCTACCTCTTTCAGATATGTTACTATTAGTACAGGAATAAAAACTTTGCCCATTATCTTACATATTATTCCAGCATTACTATATAGGAGAAAAATTAGGTTTGAATTCTTTTTATTTATCTTTTGATATTTTTTCAATAGTTTATATGTTATTATTTTCATTATTTTTTATTTACTAAACTAATACTCTACTGTTTCTTTCAAGCAAAGACTTTCTTAAAAAAGGTTATTATATGTTTTCTTATTTTTTTTTTGATGAAACAGAATGTCTTTTAGGAATAATGGTAAAGGCGAAGTTTTAATAATTACTTTTTTAAGGAGACAGATACTATTCTGAATTTGATTATCTATGAGGCATAGGGACTTCTTGTTCGATTTAATTTATACTTAATAGTTATCTTTAGTCTTTTATTGTTTTCTTTTTTTGATATTCTTGTGTGTTTTTCAGGTTTTATAGGGAAATATTAATGCTTTTAGATGAATTTTAAAGACTTAAATGTGGTGAATAAAAGTTTTCGCTTTTTTCACTTTTTTAATTTTCTATTTCATGTGTTTATTCATTTTCTTCTTTTTTTTAATTTTATACATCTTTGATTTTTATGTTTTCATTTTTTTCTACTTATTATATTTATTGTTCTTCTTTTTTTTATATTTTCTCACTTTCTTAATTTTATAAATTTTGTTTTTTTTGTTTATTATCTTCTATATGGTCATCTTCTGCTTTTAATAATTCTTTATTTTATAAGTTTTCTTTTTACATAATTTCTGATTTTATGTTATCTCCTTATTGTTTATCATCTTTTTTTTATATATCATCATCTATTTAAACAGGTTTTTATTTTTAAATATTATATTCATATTTTATATTATTTTCTTTAATTTGGTTGCCTATTTAATCTTTAAATATTTTATTTATACATTAATTAACTTACACTAACTATTCTATTGAGGTTCTATTATTTTCTTATTTTTTTAATTGGCTTTAATTAACCTATTCTAATTATTCTTCTTATTTAATAATTTAAAAGAATTATTTTATTTTAATATATGTACATTTTTCTTTTAAGTCTAATAATTATGTGTTTTCTTTTTCAATAATTGTTAAGTCTTTTTCAATTTCTTACATTAGAATTATGCTTTTTTAATTATTTGACTATTTTCTTGTTTATTAATAAATATTTTTGTCATAATTTTATTATTTTTTTTATATTAAAGGTTCATTTTAAGGATTTTATTTATTCTTTTTTTCTTTTTCAATGCAAAATAAAAAATAAATGCACACTTTTAATCTTTCCATTTTTTAATTTTTGTATATATTATATTTTTTTTAATTTATAAATTGTTTGTAATTATTTATATATTAGAATCTTTAAGAAATTCAATTGATAAAAAATTATTGTTTTTATTATAATAAGTAAAATATAAAATATTAATTTAATATTTTGAAAAATATATAAAACTAAAAAATAATATTGTAATTATTTAAAAACGTTATCAAAAATTAAAAATATATCATTGTTTAATAAAAAATCTATATTAATCTATATTAAATATATTAAATATTCAAATAAAATTTTAGAGTTCATATAATTATTAAAGACACACAATCAAACTCGTTCTAATATTTAGAATTTTATTCATTTATTTCTTTAATTTATGTATAATTTAGATTAAAACCATTATCTATAAAAACTAAAACATTACCTCCTATATACCATGCCTATTATATATCCAAAAAATATTCTAATTCAATTACTTATTATTATAGATATTATAAATAAAGCTATTCTTGTATTTATTATTGTGATTAATAATAAAAAAGTTGTTTAATCCTTCAATTTTTATAGCTTCTGCTCCAATTTAAAAGTCTTGGAATTATTTATAAATTAAATTAGTTGGAACATCAATAACACATTATTAAAAATTAATCGAATTATTATTAATATATAATTATCTTTTATTAATTTGCTCTATTTTTAGCTAAGAATTTTTATTATTTGGTAAACTATTTAAAATAACTTCAGTCTCCAAACTCTTTGTATTAAATGATAGTAATTCATGTCCATCATCTAGAATTATTATTTATTTATAATTATATTCTTCAATAAAAAAATTATTAAAATGTAATAAAATATTACTTTATTTTAATAAACTAGTATTTTTTAATCTAAAGATGTTAAATTTTAATTAATTTTCTTTATTTTCACTTAAATTAAAATCCTATTGGCAAAATGTCAATATATTTTCTTCTTTTTTAAATGTGTATTAAATATATTAAGGTTCTGATTAGTGAAAAATATACATATATCTTTTGTCTATTTCTTATATTTTTGTTTATTTTAATTCAGGAATTGATATATATATATATAAAATTATTATTTGTTTGTATAATGAGTTATTATATTTATTTATAATAGTTAATAATAATAAAACTTTCTTATATTTCAAGCTTATTTAATAATTCATAAAAATGATTTTAATAACTTTAATTTTTAAGATTAATTTCTTTCTAAAGTATATAATTACTGGACTATATTGTAATGTTATTTTCAGTGATTATTTTATTGAAAATACATTTTTAAAGCTTTTTTTCAAAATATATTTAAAAGTAATTTTTATTTTTATTTTACTTTTTAATCAATATTATCCTTCGATTCTTTATTATCTTTTTGTTATTTATTATTTAATATTTTAGAATATTTTTAGTTAATTATACTATTAACTTTTATATTTAAATATTTTAATTTATTTTAATTTTTATTTTGACAATAAAGATATTTTATTATTAATTTTAAATAATAACACAATCTTCTACATTTTTACATATTGTTATGTAGCTGTATTTTTAAAAAATATATTTTATTATAATTAAAGCCAATAAAATTAAATGAATAAAAAAATTCATTAAAATTGATTTTATTTTAGAACCAAGAAAATAAAATTATTAAGAAATAAATATATTTATTAAATAAAAAAATAACATTTTAGCTATATCATACTTATAAGAAAATTAATTACTAAACAAAGCAAAATAAAAAACGCTAAAATATAAAGAAAATTCTAAAAACAAAAACTGTACCCATTTTTTCATGTTTTATCCTTGATAGATAATAAAAGATAATATAAAAAAGTTAAAGAAAATAAATATTATATTATGTAATCATCTTATTTAAAAAAAAATCAAAAAATTCTATTTAAAGTTAAATAAATATGACACCATAATTTAGCAATATTTGTATTTTGCAATACATTTTTTTTTAGCCTTAATAAATATTAAAAACAAAAGATATAAACAATGAAATAATTACCATAATTAATAATTTTATTTATTATTAAAATACAATATATTTTATTTATTATATGTTTTTTTATTATTAGAAATTAATTTAAAAATATTTAAATTTTAATTTAATTATTAATAATTATTTAAATTCAAAAAAATAAATATTATTATTTAATTATTAAACTTTTAATTTTTTATATTAAATAAATAAAAATATGATTAATTCTTTATTAAAAAAAATAAAAATTTTATATAATGACTATGATAATACATTTATTTACTTGAAAATATTAATATTATTTTAATTTTTACTAAACATGTTTATTATGTTATTTTCTTTTTTATTTATTTTATATGGATATTAATTGATTTTTTTTATTTATTAAATTCTTCATTTCATATGGATATTAATTGAATTTTTTTTGGTTTATTAAATTCTTCTTATAATAAAAATAAAAATAAAAATAAAAAAGAAAAACAATAATCGAATAATAATTATATATATTATATTAAAACAAGAAATATTAGACTTATATTATTTAATAATTTATATAATATTAAATAAATAATTATTTAAATGAAAATATTTTTTTTACTCATTAAAAATCTATTTTTTATTGAAAACAAAAACACAAATATTTTATACAAAATTTGATAAAAACACATTTATAAAATAATCAAAAATAAACTTAATTGTATACTAAATCTAAAAAAGTACAAACAAAAAAATAAATATATATATTTATTTATATAAAAAATACATTCAAAATATATAAAAATAAAAAAAGATATGTAAAAATTAACCTAAGGCTTCTTACAAAAGAGTATATAAAACTACCCAAAAACACAAAATGTATTATAATGGGTATGTGATAATAAAAAAACAATCCGTTTCCGTTTATTCAGCGAAATTGAATTAAAAAGCATTAATGACCCCCTGAAAAACATAAACAAAGGCCTAGGTTTAGTATCTTAACAAGAAATCCAAGCTGGATCTGAAGTTTTTTTAGTATCAACTGAAAAGTCAATAACTGGCTTAGAATTGGTAGGAAGTGATCGTATAAAAGCGTATGAAATAAATGATTCTGTAACAAAAATCGCGTCTAAGTATTACGAAAAAAATCCATATCAATTTTATTATATCTAAAATGTACTCAAAATAATCACATAACTAAATGTGCATAGTAAATTCGAAACTATGTAATTATATCCATATGCAGATTATTTATTGAAGTATTTTCTAGATAATGCAAATGAAATACCTAAAAACCCATTATATTGGGACACTAATACTATAAAAGGTATATATTCTTCATATTTAGCTAGTTTAATTAGTTCCACACATAGTCAGTTTTAAAGTATAACTGAAGATCTATATAATAATAGACTTTTCGGGTTCGTTTTTTAGGATTTTTGTAATTATATGAGTATTGTGAGAAGTAGAAATTTGAATTTTTTACCTGAATAGCCGAAACATTTTGATATTAATTCAGTTGTTATTATGACTCCTGTAGTAGATTGGATTAATCATTCCTTTTAGCCTAATTGTAGGGTTACAGGGACTTATTTTGAACATGAAAATGAGAGCTATGTGTGTGTTAAAGCGATTAAAGATATTTTGCCGGGTGAGGAGTTAACTTTGAATTACGGAAATATGCCAAACTACGATTTTTTAATGAAATATGGGTTTGTTAATTAGATAAATGAATTTAATGAATTTGGATTAAATTTGAACTTTGATAATTATTTGGAATATACTTCTTAACAATTTGAATTAAAATAAAAAATTTTTAAAATTTAAAAGGATTTCACTTTAGACAGGTTAATCTTTATTTTTTATTATATAATTGTGTTAATATGTTTTTATTTTTATATTTTTTTAACAAAATTAGATTTGTTATTTATTAAAATAAAATAAATAAAGATTTATTAAGAACTTTAAGAATTTATTTTATTAGTGATTAAGATGTTTTTAATAATACTGAAATTTCCACCTATATGTTTAATGATTTTGATAAATAAATTAGTACTTAAAATGAAGTTTAATTGTGCAAATATATGATTAATATACTTAATTAGGAAAAATAAAAATACATTAAAAATAGATAAAGTACACTTGATTATAACAAAATAGAAAGATAAGATAAAAAAGGATTAATTATTGATATAGATACTTTAAATGAAATACATCTTATTTAAGACTAAAATTATAGAAATATGTTACATATATGTATTGAGGAATAAATTGTTATCGACAATAATATAAAATTCTTTACAAAAATGCTTGAAAAGGTTTAATGATAAAATTCAATAATATTTATATGAAAAGAATAATTTATATTAATTAATAAATTAACATAATTTATATAATTTTTAAACAATTAAAAACAAAAATAAAATAACTATGAAATTATAAAATATACTATATATTACAAAAAATTTAATTATTTTTACTTTTTAACGATTAAATAAAGCTCAATAAAAAAATATTTGATAACATACATTATTTGTTTCTCTAAAATTTTATTTTGCATATTTAAATAAATGTAATATTTAAATATGTATTTTTTTTTTAGATAATTTAAAGTATTTTATTTTTTTGATTCTTAGTTTTAAATTGATATTATTCATTATTCATATTCAATAGTTTTCCTCATATGAATTGAAGAAATGAATAAAAAAATATAATTTTCATTATTATTAAAAATATATAATTTTTATTAATATTAATAATAATATATTTCAAAACCAACTTATTTTAAAATAATTTATAATTAAAAAAAAAGATATTATAAAATCATCTTTTAATTATAAATGAGAAGAAATGTCCATGAAAGACATATACATACTTTTAGACATTCTATAAGTTAATAAGAAAGTGCATATTCTCTTTAATTCTAAGATATTTCTAAATGTATAGATAAAGCATTATAATATTTAAAAACTTTATAATTCTTATACTTAAAAAATTAATAATATTTTTTTATAAAAAGTAAACCACTCTTTTACTCATTCATTTACTTACAAATTAAATGAAAAAAACAATAGATGGCGTTGGGTTATTTTATTATTCATAATTCTTAGTAATTTAGGTAACTTTTTTTCTGATGATTTTCCTGCAGTATTAGAAAATTAATTAAAAACATAACTTTAAATGAGTGCTCTTTAATATAATTTATTATACAGTATTTTATGTATACCACCTTTAGCATTATTAGCTGGATATTTAATAGATAAATTAGGAGTTTATAAAGTAATGATTACATGTAGTATTTTATAAAACATAGGTTAATCTTTGTTTACATTTGGTTTATATTAAGAAAACTATTATACAATTGTTTTTGGTAGATTTATTTTTGGAATTGGTCTTGAGAATTTTAATATTTGTGGATTTAATATTATTGATAGATGGTTTCCTAAATCGGAGTTGTCTTTTGCAATGGGTTTTATAGTTTCTATAGGACGTATTTCTATGCTAACTTCTAGTTTTGTATATCCTATTTAATATGATAAAAACAAATTATTATGGGAGGCGGCTTTTATAGGTGTTTATGTATGCATTATATCTTTTTTTAGTGTTATTTGTTTGAACTTTTTAGATAGACATTTAGCCACTGATTAGGAAAAATAAAAAGTTCAAACAGAAAAAATTAAATTTAAAGATATTAAAAAGTTTAAAGGAATTTATTGGCTTATAATATTTACAATTTGCTTCTCTTTTATGATATTGGAACCTTTTATGGCTAATATGTAAGGTAAATATTTTTAAAGATTAATGTTTTTAAAAAAATAGAAATCATGATAATAAGGTATGATATATAAAGTAATCATGCAAGCAATTTTTACACTTTCCCTTTTCTTTTAGGAGCAATTTTTATTCCTTTAGTAGGGATTTTAGTTGATAAATTTGGAAACAGAGGAACTTTTGCAATTTTAGGGGGTCTATTATTTAATAGTTTCTTTTTATTATTATATAAAGAGGCTACATGTCGAAATGAAAAAGGTTGCTATGTGTATGTTTTTATAGCATTGTCAATCCTTGGATTAGGATATGGTATATTATAAAGTGTATTATGGCCTTGCATAAATTTAGTTGTTCGTTAAAAAAACTTGGGTACTGCAGGAGGAGTGGCTAACTTTGTATTATAAACAGGTAATATTATAGATATTTTAATTGCTAATATTTAAAAAAAAGAAAAAAAATATATATAAATTTATAATAATATAATTATACATATATATATATGTTTTTTATTAGGATTACTTATTAATCCTATATTTATTGGAATTATTTAAGATTAATCTTAATAGAAATATGGTTATGATATGTTACTTTTATTTTGTTTTGGAGAAAGTTTGCTTATAACTTTATTAGCTATAATTTTTACTTATAAAGATTATAAAGATTTAAGACTAATAACTGATGTAGAACCTAAAATTGCTTTAAGCTAAATTTGGGAATATTAGGATTAAAGTTTAACGGATTAAGAAAATATTTCTTTAATTAAAGGAAAACTATAACATTAATGAGTTTATAATTTAAAAATATTTTAATTCTTAATATTTTTTAATAAAATATTCAAGTATTTTTTTTATTTAATAGAAAATAAAATATATATAAATATTTTAATATATTCTAATAAAAATTATAATTTTAATTTAATTAATTATTTTTTAAATAATTTAGTTAAATCATATTTATTTATTTATATTTACATACTATTTTTTAAACTATATATTTATAAATTTAATAATTTTAATATTATATTCATTATATATTTTAGTTTCAAAAGAATAATTTAAAATTTATATTTTTATATCATTTTATTGTTGAACCTTTTAATTATTCATCATTTTTTTAATAACTTATTATATTAATTATATTTATTAATTGCCCATTTTCCCATTTTCCTTAGATTTTTTAATTATCTTATCCATTATATATCCCATTTCCATGTTATTTTCCTTATTTCCATTCTCCTTAGTAAGAAGCTCCACTTGGCCAAATTATTTAACCAACACCATCTTTTAAATCTTCCTTAAACTCTCCTATATATTTTTTACCATCTGCATATTAAAAAACGCCTTATCCTTCCATTTTATTATTTTACCACTAACCTTCGTATTTATCTCTTTTTAAAATTAAATATTATTCTTAAAAATAAATAAATATCATTAAATAAAATATACCCATTTTACCATATATAAATTCCCTTTCCAGAAAAAAAATTATATTCAAAATTTCCTATATACTAATTCCCATCATACCATATGGAATGCCCAAATCCATTTTTTTTACCCATTTCATAATTTCCTTCGTGTTAATAATTATTAATATACTTTTCAATCCCAAATCCATTTTATTAATCATTCTACCATTCGCCTTCATAAGAAAAACCTTCGATTCTCGTATATTTACCTTTTCCTTAAGCCATATTATTTTGCCATTAGCCTTCATATCTTTTTTTAAAAAAAGAAAACTATTTTTAATTATTTTTTTAAATTTACACATCACCGTCAGCATGTATTAATCTTCCTTGTCCGCTTATTTTATCGTTTTCCCAAAATCCTTCTAATAAGCTTCCATCTTTATAAATTTATTTACCTCTTCCGTATTTTATTCCATTTTTAAAATTGCCTATATAAATAGATCCATCATCGTTTTTATTTTTTTATTTGTTAATTTAAATTCTCTTCTTATTTTTTGTTTTTTTAATAGTTAAACTCACCTAAATTGATATATTAAATTCGTGCTTTTTCTGATAAATATTAAGAAATATCACTTTATAATTAAATTGAATTTTGTAAATCTTCACTTATTTTAGGAGTTTATTACTTTTTATTAATTTAAATTTCAATTATATCTTCTTGATTACTATTTTCTGTTTTTGCAGATTTTTAATTACATTGTTTGTAAACTTTCTCTTTATTTTTATGAATTTTGGTTTTGATTTCTTTTTCATAAGAATCTTCTAAAATTTATTTTTCTGTTTCAACCTATAATTAAATATCTTCCTATTATTTGTAAAAATCATTATTTTGTGAACAGCATTGACCCATTTTTTTATAAATTTTTTTATTTATAAAAACTAATATTCTTAATCAAGATTACAATAATTATATTTAAATTAGAATGAGAAAAATATAAAATAGTAAATATAAAATTTTTAAATATAAAATCTCTTAAAATTTATAAATATTTTTTTAATAATTATTTTTTAAAATAAGTTTATTTTTTTATAATTTAATATTAAATATTTTAATAATTAATAATCTTTATATATTTAATATTTTAATTTGTATTTATATTAAATTTATATATATATATATTTATCCAAACTATTTTTATATTAGTCGTATTAAACTTTAAATAAATAGTATTTTATAGTAAGTTTTAGAGTATTTTATAATAAGTTTTAGAGTATTTTCTTCATCTTTTTAATATAAATTGAAAAATTTATTTTTAAATTACATCTTATCTGCAATAATATATTCTAAATTTATAATTAAAATATTCATTTTTAATAATTCTCAATTTAAATATAAATTTGCTTATATTATTTTAATTTATCCAATTAATTAAGAAATATTGATGAAAAAAATTTTTACATATATTTATTTTAATTGACACAACTAATTCATAATTAATTAAATAAATAAAATGAGCAAGTTTAATTATTATTAAAATTAAATTTATTCTGTAATTTTATAATTTTCTATAAAATATAAAGCTTAAATAAATAAATATATTGATAAATATCATTTGCTTTTGTTCTAACATGTTTTTCTAATATTTTATTGTATTTTTATTTTTTATTTTTTATTTATTTAAATAATTTATTCATTTGATTTGACTTATATTGATATTACTAATTATATAATTATTTTCTATATTAAATTATGACATATATAAATAATGCAATATTATTTTAACATTTAATCTTGAATCTAATTATTTTAACCTTTTTCATAAAAAGCTTTTTTACCATTATTTTATATTCAAATTTATATTGATAAAAGTAAAATTTTATTGAAATGTTTTATAATAATTAAATTAGTTTATATAAAAAAATAATTAAAAACATAAATTTTTATAATCGGTTGCAATAAATGCAGATATATTATTTAATTAATATCTATTTATATTATAATATATTTATATAATAATTAATAAATTTCAAATTCAATAATATTTATATTTTAGCTCTATTTTTTAATATTAAAATTAATTTTTTTTTTATTTATTTATGATACAAATTTTTAAGAAAAAATACACTATTTAGTATAGATAAAAAAATATGGAAATTAGTAAAAACATAAATTCTTATTAACTAAAATTATTTTTAAATTTATTTTTAATTAATATATATAGTTTTCTGATATATAAAATTTTCACTATTAAAGAGTTTAATATATTCTAAACATATAAAAAATATTTAGTTAAAGAATCATCATTATTTAAATAATATATTAAAAATGTTATCTAATTTATTTTACTTTAATAATTATTGAATGTATAATGTAAGTATATTATTTTTGAAAAATTAAATTAATATATTTAAATATTTTTTTATTTGATAAATATACTATTATTGTATAAATGAATTTATTTTAATGTTAATATAAAAGAATAAATCAATTAAATATTAATAATAAGTGCAATAATAATAGTATTTAATATAATTTTATAACCAAATTACATGAAATATAATTATCATTTATTAAATAATTAAATTATTAAGATTTTATTAATTATTAAATAAATTAATATTTAATGAAAAGAATAAAAAAAGACATTTTTTATATAATTTGCTTAAAAAGCTAAGAATAATATAATATTTATTTTTTTCATAAAAATTATATAACATTTTGAATTTGTTTTTGAAATATTATATAAATAATATATTTTATATATTAATATTTTAAGTTAATTATATTTAAAAAAATACTAAATACTTAAAAATAATTATAATAAATTAGTATTATTATAGATAATTGATAATAAATATATTTGTATAAAAATTATTAAATTCTTATAATTAATTAAATAAATTTATTAACATTTTTTTTTATATAAAAAATAAAATAATAGAAGATAATTTTTATTTTAATTTAGTAAATAAAAAATTTAAATTATAAAAATTAAATATTATTCCAAGAAATATATTTTTTATTTTCTTTTGTAAAAAACAAATTCGAAAATTAAAAATAAAAAAACAATTTTTTTAAAAAGTATTAATATATTTACATAAAAAACAAATTAATGAGAAAAAATATTAATGATAAATTATTAGCAATTGTCACTATAAATTTAGGTGATGAAGAAGGTGATTGCCTAATAAAAGTACATTAAAATGATGATATAATATAATTAGCTAAAGATTTTTGTGTAAATAATTAACTTAAAGATGATTGTGTTGCATATATAGTACAAAATATAAAAAAATAAATAAATAAAGCATAATCTATGAAAGCGTCAAAATTTTAATAACTTTCTAGTTGTCAAAGTAGTGAAAAGGATGAAATTTAAAGTTAAACAACAAATTCTTCATAAAAAAATCCTTATCCACTAAAGTTGAATCCTAATTAAATAAACGAAGATTTAAAAAAAAGAGTAAGAAAGAAGATGAATATTATACAAAATGTGAAAAATAACAATAATAAAATATTAAAAAAAACATATAAGAAATGGTGAAGAAATAATAAAATTATAATTATGAACCTTCTTTAGCGAATACATGCTAAAAAAATAACCTAAATGATAAAAATTAATATTATATTAACCCTATTTTGTTAAATAAAAGCTTTGAAAAAAAATAAATAACGATTGATTTAGACAAATTTCAAAAATAAATTTAGTAGCAAAAATAATAAAAATCCAGATGTTAAACACCATATAATAATAATTTTAACGAAGCTGCTAGGACTAAATCTTCTAATTAATAACAAAGAAAACCTAATTAAATTAAAGTTGACCTCAAATAAATGAAAAAACAAAATGAAACTACTATTTTGAGTATTAATTTTTTAAAAAATATTATTATATAAATTAATTATAATTTTTTAATATATATTTTACATATTAAATTTTATTTAAGATGAAAGATAAAGAAGAAATAAATCTCAAATTTTTTCAAAAAATAATCTTGATATTGCATTAAAAAATTAAACTGAATGCAATAAATATGAAAATAATTAAAGCAAAATAAGAAAATCTACAATTATTTAATATAACTAATAGTTTATAGAATATCTGCATTAAGAAGTATTTAGCAAAATGGACAGTAATAATGATGGACTAATAAATGCTTTTGATATAAATATATAAAATATATAAATAGATATTTTAAATTGTGTATAGGATGTATTATATGATATGGCTGATATGGACATATCTTTTGAGTTTGAAGAATTTGTAGTTTATCTTTAATAAAAACAATTAATGATGCAATTATTTGAAGTATTTTTTATATTTTTAAAATATTAAATATATTAATAGATATATGAAAATATAATTTGTAAAAAGAAATAGTAAAATAAAACATAATAAAATTAAAATGAATAATAGTAATAGTAAGTTATATTTAAAAACGATTTGACTAATTTCTCATTTTAAGATGAAATTATGTTTAATAATAACACTAATAATAATAATAATAATAATAATAATAATAATAATAATAATAACAGTATTAATAGTACCTTTAATAATTAAAGTTGTTTTGGCAATTAAAACGATAAATAAACAATTTTCTTTTCATTTAATAAAGTCAATTAAGATATTGATGATATTTAGCCATGTTTCGGAAATTCTAATAATATTAATAATATTGATCATTAAAATTATAACTTGCCTTTACCAGGAAGATATTAAAATATAATAAAAAAATAAGTCAACATATGATGACTTTTTATATTAAAAAATAAAACATATATATATATATATATATATATATATATATTTATCTAAGATAATATAATATATACCTGTAATTATATATAAAACTTTTATTATTTATATATGTTAAATTTTTATTTTTTTATTAACTACACTTAATTTAAAAATTATAAAAAAATTATTAAAATATATTAAGTAATTTTTAGACAAAATATTTACTATAAATATTAAAAATTTAAATAAATCATTTTTTAAATACTTTAAAAATAACATGTTTTATAGTATTTTAATAGTTGATTTTTTTTTTATTTTAATTTTAAAATATGATATTTTTTTAAAAATAATTAAAACATTAAAACTTGTTTTTCTTAACTAAAAATAAATAACTAGAAATTAATATTCAAAATAATTAGTTTTTATTGTTTATTATATTATTTAAATTATTAGAGCTATTCACAATATTATTATTTGTCATACTGTTATTTAAATTATTTGAAGAATTTATTAAATTAGGAGTATTATTATTTTAAGTAAAACTTCCATTTATAGCAGCTAATGTTTATTAATAATAATTCTAATGATTTTTATATGTATTTTATGCATTTTATCTAAAGCCATTACTAATTCTACTACCTAAACTACTATTACTACTTGTATGACTACTTTTTATCATTAAACTATTAAAAAGTAGCATATTCTCCTTTTTTTAATCCTATTTTACAAAAAAAAATGTAAATTAAAACATTATATTTAGTATATGTTTTTAATATTTTACACTTAAAAAATAACGCCAAGAGCAATCTTAATTTATTTGTTTCTCTTCTTGTTATTCGCTTTAACTTTTTAATTTTTCAAGGAAAAAATTTTAAAGGTTAAATTTTTCTTAATTATTTACAATTTTATTTAACTAAAATCTAATTTAAAAATAAAATATTAAAGTAAATTTTAATATATTATAACAAAATAAAAATTTAAAATAACGAAATAAATTATATTTATATTACCTTTCCATTTATATTTAATGATGTATAGTTGGTTCAAAAGCATTTGTTGTTAATCTTAATTTTTTACTTTTATTTTTTTAATTAACTTCTACTATAGTATTGATTATTTAGTTTTATTAAGTTTATGCTTATGTTTATTTTTATGTTTATGTTTATGTTTATGTTTATGCTTATGCTTATGCTTATGCTTATGCTTATGCTTATGTTTATGTTTATGTTTATGTTTATGTTTATGTTTATGTTTATGTTTATGTTTATGTTTATGTTTATGTTTATGTTTATGTTTATGTTTATGTTTATGTTTATGTTTATGTTTATGTTTATGTTTATGTTTATGTTTATGTTTATATTTATGTTTATGTTTATGTTTATGTTTATGTTTATATTTATGTTTATATTTATGTTTATATTTATGTTTATATTTATGCTTATGTTTATATTTATGTTTATGCTTATGTTTATGTTTATATTTATGTTTATGCTTATGTTTATGCTTATGTTTATGTTTATGTTTATGTTTATGAATATGCATGAATAGATGATGATTATTCTTATGTTTAATTTTATGATTATTCTTTTATTTATTTTTAATATTATATTTGATTTTATGATTATTTTTATATTTGTTTTTATTAGTATTATTCTTATTTTTATGTTAATTCTATATTTTAAATTTATTCATATAAATGTTTTTATTATTATTCTTCAATTTATTTATTTTCTTATATTTTATTTAAATATTATGTTTGTTTTTATTATTGTTCTTATGTTTATATTTATTCTAATGTTTATGTAAATTGTTAATTTTATATTTATTATCTTATTTAAGATTTTTCTTATTTTAATTATAATTCTTATACATATGCTTATGTATTTTATTGTATCTATATCTATATTTATTATTATTATTATTATTAATTATTTTATTATTCATATTCCTATTCTTATTATTATTACATTTATTATTACTTTTACTATTACTAGTTTTATTGCTTATATTATTACTTTTACTATTATTAATATTACTATTATTATTAATGTTTTTACTATTAATATTACTTTTACTATTACAATTACTATTACCTTTATTATTATTATTATTAGTTTATTTATGTTTAGTTTTGTTATTCTTTATTACTTTTTATAACACTTGCATATAATATATTATCATCGTATAAATTATAAACTTCTATGTCTTATCGATCATCTTAAAGATGCATATTAGTACTTTTTTAAGAAAATATTTCATCTTATAGTAATTATGCTTTTTATATTTATTATAAACTAAAATTATTTTACAAATCTAAATTTATATTATATAATAATTCATCAAAATTTTTCAAATTTTATTATTAATATTAATTGTTTTCTAATGTTCCTAATTCACAAATATTATTTTTATCATATTCAAATTCATATTTTACAAAGTCTTTAGTTTTTCTTTAATCTTTTTATATATTTTTTTTTGATATTTATTCATCAAGCAATAAATCTGAATTATGGTTATTTTTTTTTTATTATCGTTATTATTAATATAAATAAATAGTATTTTTTTCTTCATTTATTTAATTATTTTTTTACTCAATAATATATAAAATATCATTAAAATTCACTTATTTTTTTTATATTCTATTGTACTTTTAACCTTCTTTATGTATAGTAAATATCATATTACATGTTTTTGGGTCTATAGTATATAAAATCCTTTTAAGGTTTCATTATTTATCATTTACACTATCATATATTATCCCCTTTTATTATAATATTTTTTAACTTCTACTAATATATATATTTAATTTACTAAACTATTAATCGCAAAATGAGAAAAATTTAAAGAGTTTATAAGATTTAATTTTTATAAAATTTATAAATGTTTTTATTAGTCAGTCATTTTTATTTTATATTTTTTTTTTCAATAATAATAAATAAATATAAATATTTTATTTTTAAATTTTTTTTTAAAAAAAAAGAACTAAAAATATTAAATGAATTAAAATAAAAACTTCACAAATTTAAAATATTTAAATTTTAATTTATTATTAGAATATTTTTTAATTAATAAATAATAATTAAATAAATAATTTTTAGTTCTTTTTTCTCTTATTTACTTTAGAAATTACACAATAAATATTAAATTTTAGTATTGATTAAATGGATAATCTTAGAATATTAAACTACTTTATATATTGAGTTTTTATTAATAAATATTATTTATCAAGTATATATTAGATAACTTAATTTGTTTTTAAAAATATATTATATGTTATATGTTTTGTAAATATTTATTATATATTATATAAAAATAAAATAATTAAAAATTAAAGTTTAATTTAATTTATTAAAATTTTATTAATTTCTTTTTACAATTAAAAAATTTATATTTTTTCTTTTTTATATATTTATTATAACTTCATAAATTTATATCGTATAAGGTTTTTTCTATTAATGAACATAATTTAATAGTATATAAAAGAAGAAATTAATCCACAATTAGCACAACCTATAAACTATGTCAGCCTAACTTTTGAAAACGGAGAATCTTATTATGGAAATATATTAAATAATAAAAAACATGGTTTTGGACTTTATAAATATTAAAAAAATGATTTATATGAGGGTGAATGGGAAAAAGATAAAAAAAATGGGAAAGGAGTATTTTTATATGCAGATGGTTCAAAATATGATGGCGAATGGCATAATGATATTTAAAATGGATATGGAAAATATTAAAAAGATATAAAATAAATTGAAAATTAATAATATGTTTCAAGTGAATGCTTATAATTTAAAAAAGAAGACATTATATATTATAAAGGTTATTGGAAATATGGTACTATAAATACAATAAATTATTTATATTTTTTTACAAAAAGGAATATATCATAAATATGGGCATGCATTATATAAAAATGGAGATGCTTATGAAGGTGAATTTTAAAACGGATAAAGAAATGGAAAAGGAGAATATAGATTTAAAAATGGTCTCAAATATATAGGAATTTGGGAAAACGACAATTATGGAGGATTTGGTCAACTTTCGAAAAACAATTAAATTATTTATGAGGGAATGTGGAAACATGGGTAAAAAAATGGCTAAGGTAAGTAATTTTATCCAGATGGGAGCTACTTTTTTGGAAATTTCTAAGATGACATGAGAGAAGGGAAAGGAACTTTTTTTTCGAATAATGGCGATGTGTTAGAGGGAGAATGGAAAAAAGGTGAAGATTAAATTTAATGTTAAGTTACTTATAATAGTGACAAAACTTAATATTTTGGAGAATAAAGAGATGGATAAAAAAATGGATTTGGTAAATTAATTTATGCAAATGGAGAAGTTTATGAAGGATAAGTAATTATTTATTTATTTTCATAATATTATTTTTATTGAAGTTTCTTAATGACTTTAAATACGGAAAAGGAAAGTATATATATTACAATGGAGCTTAATATGTAGGGGATTGGAATTATGATGTTATATAAGGAAATGGAGTTTATATTTCTGAAAACGGAGAAAAATATGAAGGATAATGGGAAAAAAACTTACCAAATGGATAAGGGACTTTTATTTATTAAAATGGTGATTAATATCAAGGGGTTTGCTATATATATTTATTTATATTTATTTATTTAGAATTGGAAAGACGGAGAAAAGAAAGGAAAAGGAATTTATAAATATTAAAATGGAATGTAATATGAAGGATTATTTTCAAAAGATAAAAAATAAGGATATGGAATTCTCATTAATGGAAATCTTATTTATTCAGGATATTGGAAAAATGATTATTTACCTCAAGGTAATCTTATAAATACTAATACAAACGAAAAATACAAAGGATAATTTAATTAAGAATTAGTAATTTGTATATTTTAACTTATTATATATTTATGTTATTTTAGGAAATGCATGGAATTGGTGAATACAAATATAATAATGGGGAAACTTTTAAAGGATATTGGAAAAATAATTAAAAAGAAACAGAAGGAATATATACTTATTCAAATGGAGATATTTTTATATGTAAATAAAAATTAAATTATGATTAACATAAATGGGTTTGTTAACTTTAAAATAGAAAAGGAGCTTATATCGAAGGCATATGGGATATGAATTAGAAAAATGTATATTTTTATATTTATTACTATATCTATTATATAAGGAATAAGGAAGATTTAAAATGGTTGAGGAAAAATCATAAAATTAAAAAGATTAAGTTTACAACATAAAAAAAAAATGTTAATAAAAAAATAATTAATTTTAAAAATAAATTGAAATACCTATTTTATAAAGCTTCGATTCTTTAAATAATATTGTTGATTAAATTAATAAAGAAATTTATAATATATGTGTTTGAATATAAGAATAATTTATAATTATAACCTAAAATAATTAAAAATATAAGTTTTATTATTATTAATTTAAATGTAAAATTTTATAAATTAAATATAAATATATATTTTTTAACCAATTTTTTATTAATAATATTGAAATTATAAATAGCAATCAAACATTTTAATACTTTTCTTACATATAATTATAAAACATTTAAGTTTAAACAAATTCTATTAAAAACTAGTCTTAGGAATTGATACTTTTCAAAAGATAATTTTTAATAGCTTCATAATCAACTTACTAATTTATTATTTTATTTATATTAATAATATTTTTTGTTTTTACATTATTTTCAAAGATAGCTTTTTAAGGTAGGAATTATAATATTTAATTTTCTAGAAAATTTTTAACACATTCAAGTATTTTTTTACAAATTTATTTTTCTTCTTCTTTTTTTTTTTACTTTTTTCTAAAATACTATCGATTTCTAAAATATTATTTGCGAGATTTAACGTATTTGTTTTTAAAGACTAAAATAAAGATTTAAGCTATAAGTTTATTTCCAAAAAAAAATTGTTTTAAAATATAAAAGTTTTATTTTAACTTATGCAATCAACTTTATCCAAATTAACAATCAAAAACTCTTCATTTTTATTTACTAATTTTTCGTCTATTAACCATTAAAAAGATTTACTAACACCCATTAGAAAAGGAGTAGGAGAATCAAAAATAAACATAAGATTGTTTGTTAATTACGATATTATAGGATAAGGCCATTTAAATGGATATATTTAACACATAAAAAAAGTTCTTTAAAAATATTTAATATATAACCGGAAAATTATATGGTATTATTTTACAAAGTTTAGCTAAGTAAGGTTTCTTCAGATGAATAAAATATAGTATTTTCCTCAAGTAATAAAGAAAAAAGAATATACGTAAAATCAAATAAAGTTAGTTTTTAAAGAACTTATACCATTCCCCATTCTGCCTGTAAATGAAACGAATCCCATTAAAAAGGAACTGAAAGTGTAAATTAATTTATAAAATGCACTTTTAACCCGAAATCAAATTTATCTTTAAATTTTATACAAGAATCTAAAACTTTTATTATGTCTAAATTAAGAAAATTCTTTTTATTATTATAAAATAAAAACAAAATAAAAATCTATATTTAAATAACATTTATTTAGGAAAAGTCAATTTTCAAATAATCTACAAGACCTTGCCTAATTTCATTATACTTTGAATCTTCGATATAGTCTGTTTTTAATTTATTTTGTTATTTTCACCCGATTTTTTTTAAAAAAACATTAATTTTAATTTTAATTTATAAAAATAAAATCAACTTACTAAAAAGTTCAAAATATCAAAAAAAAATTCAAATAAAGGATATTAAGTTATTACGCAAAGAGCTACAGGAATTTGTAAACAATATTAATTCTATTCAATTTAGTCAATTTATAATTTTTCTAAATTCTTAAAATCTAAATAATCTTAAGAAACTAAACAAATACAATAAGTTAAATTATTAGGATTGGAGTATTTTTAAAAAAGATTCTTTTCAAAATTATTATTTTAATCAAATGAATTTATACAAAAAACTAATTATTTTCGTAAATTTTATTTAAAAAGGATGCTCCTTTATTTTATTTAATTATATAAAAATTAATATAAATTATAATTTACTATTAAAAATCAAATTTACTGCATTTTTTTAATTCTAAACCATTAGAAAATATGAAATCTTAAAAAACTTATAATTTTTCTTATTATTTTTATTAATAATTTTTCTCTAAACTATATATAATTTCAGTTTAAATATTAGTTTCATTAATAGAGTTGATATTTTTTAGAGCATTTTTATTAGCTGAAAAAATTACAAAATTCGAAATTATCCTATTTTCGTTATTTTTTTATTCTATATGGCAATCTTTTTAATTTAATTATAATTAAGAATAATTTTTGTTAATTATATTTGTTTCTCTAATTTAAATATTTTAACTAAATATTTATGTTTTTTCATTAAAAAATTAATTAATTTTCTATTCTTTTGTGTTTTTTAAAATAATATTTGAATACCTTAATTAAAAAAAATAGTTTTTTACAGATATGCATTTATTATTTATTTTTATTTTTAAAAAAAATATTTTACTCTTAATTAATTTTTACTTCATTTGAATACTTTTATGTTTTTTCTAATTTAATTGGATTTTAATAAAATAAATTATCTTTTTAATCTTATTATTTCCCTTTATTATTAAAAATTTATTTATACTCATTATTTTTTCTCTAATTTCTACTGCCAACAATAGGTAGAGATAAATTTCTATTATCTTAAATATTATTTATAATACTTTGTTAAATTATTTTATTTGTTTTAGAATTTTATAGCAAATTAGTATCTTAAATATTTTATTGTGAACCATTTAATAAATTATAGTATTTTTCGATTACTTCCGTTAGTTTAGATTTTAATTATTCTTGTATTTCTTCAGAGTTTTATATTTGTTTAGTAAAAAGATTTATTTGTATTTATTAGTTATCGTTAAGTTCTTTTAGTTATTTATTACTTTATTCTAACTAATCTATTTTTTACTTTAATTGGCTGTTTTAATTAATCAGGTCTTCAATTTATTTTTATTCATTTAATATATATTTTGAATTAGTTTAATATATTTTATATGAAAAAGGATCTTGATTATCCATTATATATAAAAAATAATATATTTAAAAATAATGCAAATAGAAATTAATAATAAAATAGTTTTTAAATAATAAATATTATATATAATTTTTTGTAAATAAAAATTATATTAATAATTTTTTTTTCTGTATAAATTTATTTTAAAATAAAAATATTTAATGGAAGAAATTTAATAATAAAAAACTAATCAAATATAAAAATTAGAGCATGAAAATAAATACTTTTTAGATAAAAACTGTTAATATTATCTTTAAAAAAAAAAAAAAATTTGCAAATTTCCTCGTACAGAAAATTCTTAATATTGCCATTATCATATATTTTCGGTAACCTAAGTGAAATGTCCCATAGATCCTACTCATTACATAAATAAAGATAATCTAGAAAAGCATGTGTAAAAATGTACTTTAAAAAAACAACAAGAAGCTTAATAATAGAATATATGGTTTTAATAAGGTATAAATAATAAAGGTTAATAGAAAATTGAAAAGGAAAAAAAAGAAGAAATAAATATTTCTTTAAAAGAACTTTATTTATAAAAATCTTTAATTTTAATATCTTTAATATAAAAAATAAAATTCAATTTTTCTAAAGCCTTAAAAATATATACATAAAGCTAAAAAGAAACATAATTTTAAGTAGAAAATACAGAAAATTATTTTCTTGAAGTTTCTTCTTTATAAAATAACATTTAATAAATAAATGATAGATAAAAAGACCTTCATCAAGTCCTTTAATTAAATAAAATCCTTAAAAAAGTAAACCTTTTAGATAAAAAAAGTATATATATAGAATTCGGGGCTGGAAAAGGACTTCTTTCTCACACAATATGTACCTAATTGTCTACTTTACAGTAAGAATTAACATTAGAAACTTTATAAATATCAATAGATTAAAAAAGTAAAGATATTTAAAAATAAGAAGAACATTCAGCCCATGTTTTATTAGAAATAGAACCTCGTAGAAATAAATTAGATAAGCTACATAGAAATAATCCTTTTTTTTAAGATTTAGGACAAATATTTTACATTTTGATGCAAATAGTTTGACTTAAATTTTTTAAAAAGAAGGCAAGTAATTTTTAGAAAATAAATTAGAAATAATTGGAGTTTCTAAACATATGTGTGGTGAAGCAACTGATTTATCAATAAATACTCTTTTAAATGCCAAAAATAATGTTTTTTTAAAGGAATGATGATTGCGACTTGTTGCCATCATAAATGTAGGAGAGACAGCTATCTAAATATGGATTTTTTAGAAGGTTTTTTAGGATTTTCAAATCAAGAAGTTTAACTTTTGTTTAATATATCGGGGTGGTATGTTAGTGGAAATTTATAAAATAATAAAACAGGGAAAGACGAGTGGTTAAGTTCTTAAGAAAAAGAAATTATAGGAAAAATGGCTAAAAGAATTATTGATTTTGGAAGAATTTAGTACCTTTAATAATAAGGAAAATAAGCATCGCTATTAAAATATTGTGAAAGTTATTTAAGCCCAGAAAATTTTACTATAATTTGTGTTTGAGGAAAATTAATTTATGTTATATTTACATCATTTTTTATTTTTAATATAAATATATCTTTTATTTATTTTTTTAAATGATTTAATTTATTTTTAATTTTATAAATTTTTAAATAAAAATATATTATTAATTTTTAATTTTTATATATAAAAAAAAAATTTTTTATATATATACATAATTTTAATAAAACAATTTATCTATATTTAATAAAATAAAAAGAATTTCTAATATTTTAAAATTTTAAAAAATTTATATATAAAATATTTTTTACAAAAAATATATTATATATATTATAAAATATATATAAATTAATTATATATATATATTATTATGTTATTTTTATAATATATTATATCTAAAATTTTTAAATTTTAAATTTTTTTATTTATAAATATATAAATATATTTGGAATAGGTTTTGGGGTAGGCGCTATTGGGTTTGGGGTTGGGGTTGGGGTTGGGGTTGGGGTTGGGGTTGGGGTTGGGGTTGGGGTTGGGGTTGGGGTTGGGGTTTGGGGTTGGGGTTGGGGT